TGTACACCCGTCCAGTTTTACATACAAAGTGTGTACATTCCTTTTTCCACCTATGCGGGTAAATGCTCCTTTTTCTCCCACTAGGGTAACTCCTTCGAGCTGGATATTTGATGATGCTTTCCTGTAGTGTTCCTCTTCATTTTGCCACAGGTAACCTTGACCCCAAAACGCCTCTAAAGCTGTTTTTTTCAGAGAGGAGGGAACATTGTGTGGACGTGTGCTAGTCCACACAACGCCATCATACACTACATTACGTGGACTTCTTTTGTGCAAAGGTCCACACTATGTATGCCACGTCTGCACACACCCTTGTGTTGGTCATTGTTTGTTCAAAATCTCAGGAATTCTTTTCAGACATCTAGGGGGGATGTGTTAGGTAACAATAGTCTAGAGTGTGTGTATATGGATTGGACATGTTGGGGGTTACCCTCCGTCCCATATCTTGCTGGGTATAAAAAAGGTACTTATTAGACGACAAGTTGCTATCTGAAGAGTGCAAATACGGTAAACATACAGCAAGTGTTCTTTACTTGTATTTTCCCTCGTAAGACTCACGCCGGTGTATGTAAAATGAGAACTAGAAACTGAAAACTGACGTTTCCCCGATATTCTCTTGATCTTTTTCCAGTCGTAGTTTGCATTGTTCACCTTTGTGTATTACACAATAATGATTTTTTAAAGATCTGCTCTCCTGAGCGAGCCACCCATAACTACATGTGATCTGCTCTGATTTGGCCTGTTCACGAATGTTTGACTCGTTTATGCATAAAACGGGCGATTCACAATAGTGCGCCTCCAAGAGTTTGGAACGCGTTGGCCAATCACAACGCGCAAACTCGGTCGACCCTTTTCAAACGCGCATTGGGTCGGTCGGTTTCGCGCATCGTGATTGGTCAACGCGTTGCAAACTCTTGGAGGCGCGCTATTGTGAATCACCTGTATTACTGCACTGTCTCTGCAGGCGGTAGATCTCTACCTGGAGATGTGCTACTTTTTTGTCTTCGCGGCCTTGCTGGAGTTCGCTCTGGTCAGCTACTATGAGAAGTCGTGTTTTAAGGAGGCACGTCAGCGGCTGAAAGAGGCGGCAGAGAATGCCAACTCCCCGGCGTCTAAGAGCTCTGGATCACCCAATAGTGTCTACAGCGTCGACAAAAGGCAGGATGAGATTGTGAGTATAAAGGTAGAAATCCTAAAGTAACGATTTCAGGAGGCTTTTCCCTTTTTTCGTTTCTTTCCAAATAATTCTTCAAAATCCCACGCATGTCGGCTATATCCTAATCCTCCATTTTCGTGTTAACATTTCATGATTGAAAATGTAGTTGTTTAAACCAATTCTCATTTGTTTCTGTGAGTAGCTTGTTGATGAAAAGAGTTACGATGTGTTGTCAAGAATTAATTAATTGATAACTTTGTCTTGTGAACCTTTTTTCCCAGGAGATAACTTTTGTAAACGAGAATGCCTTAACGGCGGCCAACCTCTCCCGAACCGAGAGAGTCAACCGAGGGGGTGCCAGGCGGAGCTCGTACATCCGTGCCGCGGAGCGCGGTCCACCGCCCACCCGGGCCTCCGCTAAGCAGCCCTCCACGCCCCGACAACGCCAGGAGGTCAGTCAGTGCGAGGAGATGTGTGGGCCCAAGTGTGCCGACTTCGGCGAGGTGGGCCTGGACCCGAGCAAGGTGGACATGAACTCCAGGAAGTTCTTCCCGCTAACGTTTGTGGTGCTGAAGATCGCCTACTGGGCTTACTATGTGACGGTGACAAGCGGTGGTGTGGACGACTTGATCGCTGATGTTGAACAGTCATGACAACCCAGGCAGTTAGGGTTTTAATGCCTTGAATCTTGAAATGTGTTTTCAACCCGCTTATGTTTAAATGTTTAAGTATGTTCTAAAACAAATCAGTGTACGTCATTGTTCGAATTTTCTTGCAAATATGCCGTAAAAATCCCAATCTCTTTTAATTGGAAAAAAATGTGTTTACAACTGTTTTCAGTGGATCGCTAAGAAATTCCTAGCGTGTATGAGCGGCACAAGGTGGCGCTGTTTAAAAAATCTGCTACTCGCTTGCAGTAACGTCAGCGGCGATGTTTAAATTACACGTTTGGTGAAAAAGTTCTGTAAAAAGTATTCAATCCTTGCAAAATCATTAACCAAGTTTGTTTCTTTGTTGTGTGATAACACTTTTGTTAATCTTCTCTAAGCATGGAATCAATTATCATCTCTGTGATGCAATGAATATCAGGTGGGAAAGGGGCAGGAATTTGGCAAAATTGGTCCCCCGCGGACGAATACTTCTATACTACTGCTAAAATGTTGTTTTGAAACTTGCTACAATTAAGCTTGCTTCTTGTAAACATCGAGCGAATTATAACTTCATGACAAATAAACTAGCATCTGTTTTACGGTCTGAAATTTAATTCCTGAGTTTTTCCAGAGTTTCCGTTTAAAGAACTGTAAAATTCAAAACATTACTATAATGATTAGGGTCAGGAAAAATGTATTAAACTGCAATTGTGAATTTGCTTTGCGCGTGTGATATTTTGATTGCCTTTCGTAATGCTCATCTTCGATGTCAGTGAGCCGTGTCCGTGCAAATGACAGACACGTATGCACTTCACACCTCGGTCATCATTTTCTGCGCGTTCTGCCGGCGCTCAACCCTCTCTTCATTTTTCACAGTAAAGACCGTCCGTCACATATGCAGATCTTAACGACTCTGTGGATTCGCAGCTTATTTTTTCCTGTCTTTTTGGCCCGTGATTGCGGTGCTGAATTTTTTAGGGATAGGCATTTGTAAGTCACTGAATCGTTAAAATGAGCTCACTGACACGGTCTGAAGAGGGTCCCCGAATAAATTTTGTTCCCGATTCATAACGTTTTTATTCCGAAGTTTGTTTTTGTATTTTTTTTATATTACTCCGACTTTCCATTCAAATTTTCTGAAAACAGTTGTTAAATAATTGAAATCTGATCCGGAAGAGCGCAAGAAATGATGATACTTGATTTCACTCTCCAGCGGAACAACAAACTCCTACTCAGGAAAGAAATCACAACATGCGGGTTGTTTATTTTTTCTGTGTTGAGGTCTAGTTTTTTCTGTAAACCAATGGATTGAAAAAATTTCTGAGAGATGATAAAAAACAAGTTCTTATTTCACTCCAAGTTTGGAAGATCGGAAATCATGCCTAGAGTGGGACTGAAATAATTATGAAGAAATTACCGACCGGTAGCTGGCTACAGGACGTCTAAGCATTCATAATGCGGGTTTTTTTCGCCTGCTGACATGCCACAATCTGGGATATTTTTCATAATCTCTCCCTCCTCATAGTTGCACGGTCCGCACTCCCGCCGGGACCACAAGTCTAATTTGACTGCAGAGCGCGCGCATCCATAACCCTGTGCAACCCGGTGCGACGAAGGCGTTCATGCTTGCTTCACCGACGGCGTCTACAATATCCGCTGCGCATTACTGACCAAATTACTGTCTGAATAATATATGAGACGAAACCTCTTCGCTCACCCCCCCCCCTTGCTCATCGTGATTTCCAGACATCAAATTCCAAACCTCGTGGGCTAGGCAGCGGTGAAAGCTCTGTATTTCCTCAAGCGGCCTGCCGACGGTGCGCGTGTCATACGACGCTCAATGTTCAAAACCGTGCCAAAACCTCAACAGCACATTTCGGAATCTTTCTCGTAAATGCAGCTGACGTGTCCTTAAACGCCACGTGAAAACTGGTGGTTAAGTCCAACACCAAGAATTTCTATTGTGAACGCGACCACAGGCGGTGCAGAAGAAGGCGACACCAGAGGGTTCAGCTTAGTTCGTCTACCACCCCTGCCTAAAATGGCACTTACTGTGTACGGAGTAATACTACTTATCTTGCCTATTGCTGTGGTATTTCCGACAAGCCAAGCCATAGAGTTTTACAGTATTGGTAAGTAAATGTTAAAACACCATTATTATCTGTCCTAGACAGGACAAACTTCACATCTTGCTGCCCAGTAGTCAGTTGGTAATGCACGGATTCGAATTCAAAGACTATAACGAAACATTTAGGCCTATGTAAAATCTGAGTTTTATAATCGACTCTTGGAGAGCCGGGCAATGTGATTCATGTATCTGTTGTTGAAACCTAAGACTCAAGTAAATTGAGTACTGTTCATTCTTCATTAAAGATGTGTTTATAAAAATTATCGCAATTTTCTCAGCGGTTATATTCAGTACACTGTGTTGATGATTCGTCAATGCATACTGTTTAAATTTGTTCAGTGCACTTCAAATTAGGCACTAGAAGAATTCATTGTGAAGAGACAAGTGCAATGTGAAAATCCTCATGACAGTGCACTATATAGAAACACGGCAGTTTGTATGTGTGTTTAACCAGTAACTACATTAACATCACCTCGAATCCCAAATTGCTTGTTTTGCCGGATATACTAACATTGATTTTTTTTATAATAGAGCCCGAAAGTTGACCCCTGGGGGCGCGCTTCCAGAACCCTTGGATAGGAAAAAAGTGCAACACTCTCAGAATTTGTAATTTTTCCCGTTCGATTACTTCTTAAAAAATCACCTCAGAAAAAGGCCTTTGTGAAATATTTGCTAGCATATTAATTTATCGAAACGGAAAAATTCACATTAGCTCATGAAGTGGTAACAAACTTGCATGGACAAGGAGAGCTGGGAACGATATTGCCGAAAGTGAAATGTCGTTCATGACTTTCGTTTTTCACCCATCTCTAGTTGACTTCTCCAAATATTGCTTGTGGGACACAAAGTTGAAATTCCAACATGAGTGTTTCATGGGGTGGTTTCAGTCAGGAATGATTCTTCCAAAAATTATCGAACATGATAGGACGATGGTCTCATGTATAATCACATAGACCGCCGCGCGAGGGTTCCGGAGGTTCTATGCGTGACCTCTCACTTCTCAACTCTATTACAAATTATCAACCACCAGACAGATTCAGACCAATCTATTGTTCGAAATGAGATGCCCCTCTATTTTAAGTGAGGGACGTCTTTTTAATAATTCAGCAGTTTATTGATGAAGCGTCATTCTCATTTGGATATTCTCTAAATGTATGCAGGAATAACGGAGGGGCGGAAAATCGATACTTGAATTTAATTCCCCAAGAAAAGGCCCACTACATAAAGTTTTCCCCTTCCTTACCCCCCCCCTCATCGAAAAGGAATTATTAATGACCTTGTGGTTCTGTTTGTTTTCCTCGCTAAGGCGGGATCTTCGATGACGGGCCTCCCCCGAATCCGGAGCGCCTGATCTTCGTCCAGTCGGTCATCTGCAACAACATCCGCTGTAACAGGTCCGAGGAGCGTCCGTTCCAAGCTGCCGCCCGCCTCCAGCACACGAAGCTGGCCAACAACGCAGCTGTGCTCCAGACAAGTATGTGCCTCTCTCTCTCTCTCTCTCTCTCTCTCTCTCTCTCTCTCTCTCTCTCTCTCTCTCTCTCTCTGTCTCTCTTTTTATCTCTCTATCCATACACCCCCCGATGCTAACTACGTTTTACCTCATGAGTGAATTTGATTCGGGAATTAAAAACCCTCTCGCGAAGGTGTCAATTTAATTATTCCAGGGTATTTAATTTGTTTCCCATTTGATATACGTTCAGTCCAATCTATACATAGTAGGTGCGGTTTTTAACAGTTTGTCTTGGCCGGATATATGGGGCGCTATGCCGACCTGAATAAATTACTGCAAAAAAATAAAGCACTGGTGAATGTGTCTCGAAAAGGGGGACACGTACAAAGGGGCGTGGACATGGGGTAATGGCTAGCAATTGCATTTGGTGGTAAGTTATGATTACGTATTTCAAGAGATCGTCGAAACAGTATTCAGGATAATAAACTTGCATTGTTCCAAAGTAAAAATGGATTCGTGATGATATTCAGACATGGAAAGATATCGAATTGCAGTCACATATGTGTTGTGGCCACGTAATTATATAGTTTGTGGCCACATGACACAGATATACATGTGTGCCCGAGTAGGTAAAAACAACCATCGGTTAATTTGAAGTCTCACCAAGTAAGTCGATTCTTTAAATACGTGTGCTAATGTTTCATTGTGCATATGACTGAAACTCTAACCGATTTTGAGAGTGTGGCGCCCAACTCACAATACGTTCACCACGTCCACTGCCAAAAATAAGTACAACAATTTTTCACAGAAGACATGATGATGCGAGGGATACATAGCAGTTGTTAAATTTCCATAGCATATTTTAATGGGGAGGCCACTTCTGCCGCAACACGGTGAAGTTCTAATCGGGTGTATGATACTCCCTCGAGTGACCTAGCCTACGCGAATCTAACTTGACACCTGCGTTGCAAGACTCGTCGTTCCCCGGCGAGGTGACGCAACGTCTCCCCGCCAAGCGCGGGGAGCGCAAGTCTCGGTTACCCCTGGCTGGCCTCCACTAATCCCTGACACGTCCCTGCATGCTTTGGGAATCGAAGTCCAGGACCCAGGTTTTTTAATTCTTCTTTACTTTCATGTGAGGAGGCGACCAATTTTAGAATTACCCGTCCTTATCCCCAGAGGGCAACGTCAGCGCATTGGTTATCACAGTGTAGAGTTTCACAACTTAAAGTGCTGTACTGACGTAAACTGATACATTCAATAACCGATTCCAAATGTTAATGCCATTCCTTAAAAGTGAAAAAAGTCAGTGTGGCCCACGTCGACTGGTGAAAACAACCATTGGCAATATGTCCTGGGGTGAGGCAATAGTGAAGTGCTCGGCCTCTGTCCTTTTCACTCAGGGAGAAGTAGAATGAACACGAGCACGGCACCTGCGGCCGATTTTCACGCGGGGCCCACGCCGCTGAGATGGCTTGCGCGTTCAGCTTGAACCGTCGGGAACCAGTGAGAGGCCAACACACGGCGCAGTTTTCTTGCTGGCAACCCTTTTTTTGGTTTCTGACTGCTGATTGCTGCACTGGTCTCTGTGTATGACCCCCATCAAAGAATCCTTATAGTGGAATCTGCATTGGTGTATGAGTCTAAGGAAAGAAACTAGAGATTTGAAAATGGTGAAATAATATCAATATAAGTATTATTTCGAGACGCGAAATATTACTTTGAAGCAACTAATTCTACTTGGAGGGAAAATTGTGTTTGTATGTATTCCATGTGTATTTTTTCTACCAGTGTATCGTGTATCCACTATATTTGTGTCTCTTATGAATGCTGTTAAGAATGGGCTTATGGTGTTTAAAGATTACATAGAAATTAATGAAATGGCCTTATGCATGTCATCATCCTTTGTATAGTGTGTGTACTGCTGGCGAACAATGCCACCCTCACTGTGGGCGTGGCTGACCTGGACGTTGTCAACATGATTGCTACGGCCAGTAAGCAGATAAAAGTTCCCTTCATCACGCCCAGGTAGGGTTACACCTAACTCCTCCCCCCGTATCACCCTCCCTCAACATCAACCAATCCATGATAATCTTAGGAAGCTGTTGCAAAATCAACATTTGAAATAGCTGTGGAATTGGACATGTAACAGAAAACCTGTTTCCTCCACAGTTTTGCTCTGAAGGAGTCCTTCCCAGATATGAAGTTCGACTACGTGGTGTCCTTGCGCCCCTCCCTGATCCAACCCCTACTAGACCTGCTGGATTACAACCATTGGAAGCAGTTTGCTTACATTTACGATGGCAAACGAGGTTAGATAATCATGCACCATGAGCATTACAGGCCAAGTCCACTTTTTCTAATTTTGGTTTTTATTTTGAAAATGCATTTTCCTTAATTAAAAGTGTAAGTTGCACAGCTGTTGAACTGCTTTTGGGGTCCATAACAGACAACCGTTCCTACTTCTAGTTTTTGCGCTGTCTTCCCGAAGTCAAATACATGTCCACTAGCCTAATATCATTCACAATGCAATTCCTTGTTTATACTCGCACTATGGTGAAATATTCCTGTCAGTCAATCTTCAAAGAAACTCGATCTTAAGCAAGATGTCCCTGTTAATTTTCCTAGCGCACCTTTCCTCTACGGGCCCTAGAACCGCGCTCCGATGACTTAAGTCTCCTTGAAATGTTACTTTTGTTTTAGGCATGAGACGAGCTGACACTCTCATGCGGATTTTCCCGCGCTATGGCTACGATGTGACCTTTAAGCATCTCCGCATGGAGGAGCCCATTACTGAGACACTGAAGAACATGCGAGACAGTGGCAGACACCACATCATCTTCGATCTCTCTTTAGAAGCATCTGAGAGGGCGCTCAGAAAGGTACGGCAATTATTCTCTTTCAATTGTTTCCTCTTATAGAATCAAGCGGAGCCACAACCACTCAAGCTATGTTGTGCTGTTTAAAGTGTCAAATACAGTTTAAAAAATGTTTATATTTCCTCTGAGTAGAATATCTGAAGTGTCATAATCTCCGCTTTTCTTTCTCCATATGTGAGCCCAATCATTGTTTCATTTTCAAAACAAAGATCTTGAAATAAGGTTTTTATTTGGCGGTAGAATGGCTGATATTAAACTCTACGTTTTGACCAATAGCTGCAGGCCAATGACCTCGGAATGGTGACGGCGTCATATCATTACATATTCATGGACTTGGTAAGTGTGCACGCACATTGTTACCTAAAATGTAGACAGAAAACAAGAAAATGCATGAAGCTTTTTGCAAACACAACTGTCTCACTTAAAATCAAAAGCGTTAAGTCCAAGTGCTTTTTTAATAATCAACTAAGATGATTGTTCATACTGACTCTAACTTCTTTAAGGTAGCCTCGCTGAGTGATGATATCTATCTAAACCAAGTTTTATCTTTGGGAATCTGTATGATAATCATTGGTAGAACGCCCACTTGCATCTATACACGTCGTTCATCTCGATAAAAGGAAAGAAAACCTGTTAATTAATGCATTTGTCTCATGGTAAATGCCTGACAAATTCCATAGTCATCGTGGACGGTTTTCACGCTTGGCTGGCTGTGCCCAGAATATTTAAAACGATTTTCCCAAGCATTATTAAGGCGAGCCGATGATGGTTTGCTGCTCAGTGTGAGGACTCCCCAAGGGGATAAAATGGGACGAAAATGAGTGGCGACGTGAGACTTAAGTGTCCTCGCAATATTAATGTGACCTAGATAGAATTCTTCATCACTTTTGCATTATCGGAAGAAATCAAAGGCTCGAATCTCATTCATGCAAACTTTGAATTATTTCTCACCTTAAACAGACTTACTATCGTTAGGCACGGGGACAGCAATTTACTAAACATTTTCTTCGCATTTTCACGCTTTACGTTTTCAAAGGTCATTATTAATACTGCTTCATTGTCGGTCTGGTTACATTGTAAAGGACATAGGGGAAATTGACATGAATCAGTTCCAGCTAGGGGGTCTCAATCTCACTGGTTTCCGGCTCCTGGACAAGGAGAGTGATGTTTACCAAGACTTTATCGTGGACTGGCGTTCCTGTGTAAGGAATAACTCGTACATCGATGTGGACACCAAATATTTCCACTTGGTAATTTCATACATTTTAGCTACCAGACAGCATGAATGTTTTGTAATTCCAGGTTGATCAACACCTTTGAAACATTAAAACTAGTTCAGCCTGATGTGGATCAGATTTTAACGACTTTAATTACTCTGGAAACCCTTAACCTTTCAAAAAGTTGCTAACATTCTCTAATCATTATTTGCCTGTTAAATTTATTAGTTTCTTTGATAAAGTAAAAGGGTTTATGGAAAATTGAAGATGTGCATGTGCAACCCTATTGGTCGATGCATTGCTTTTAAGTTCCCCACTGATTTTTGTTGAACAAAATATTGGCATTTACACTGTACTGAGCAACTCTTTGAAAGGAAAACCTCCCTTTATCCTTATGCCCATACATCGATGAGCCCGATATGATGTGGTTGTTATTAAGTACAACGTATTGTTTTGCACCATACTGTTTAAAGCAGAACTAGCTTCGGAACTATTGACTTTTTGGCATGTCGCCCAATAATTTACTGGGTAAACATCAATTTTCGAGATATCGATGCAGTTAGAGCTTCTGTGATAATAAATCTTTAACACCAACATTCTAACTTACACAGAGCAATCCGGCCTTATCATTGGACATGATGGAAGTAGCCTTGGAAGCTTTAAACAAGTTCCGGTTGGATAAGAGAGAAAGTGTGAAGAAGAAAGAGCGAACTCGAACCTGTAAACTGGGAATGTCGTCGGCACTTGTCCCGAGCAGTGAAGGCCCTATCCTGATTAACATCATCAAGAAGGTAGAGCTGGCCAACCCAAACCCCTACCTCACTCCCGACCTCCCCCCAATCCTGCCTTATTAAAATAATGTACAAATTTAGTATTAACAGATGGAATCAACGCTGAATATCTTCGTGCTATTTTCCTTAAACAACGAAATATTTATACACTTGCGCGCAGCGTTACCTTTGACTCACTTCAACAAAAAGTGTAAAAGGCCCCTAAATGTAGCCTTTCTCTTAGAAAGGCCATAAAGGTAACATTAAAAAAAGAAATTCCAATCCCCGCTCATAAAAGATCCCCCCCAAAATGTAGTTCTGGTTCTGCCCTTGGAACTGACAGCATGTCAGGAACAGTTTGATGCAATGCCTGTTCAAGCGTGAGAATTTTGATATTACGCCCTTTCAAGAAAGGCGATATTTTGTCTTTTCCATTTCCTGGTCGTGAATGATTTATGAAGTCGTAACAGACAGTGTTGCCGTGAGTGTCAATCACTACTGGTACTTGGAACTATTTGCTTGTTTTCTTCATTCCGTGTAGGTGAAGTATCAAGGATTGACTGGCAACATAGAGTTTGACAGCCAAGGAGATCGCGTCAACTACTCGGTGCAAATACTTGGTTTGAGACAAACTGGTTTAGAGAAGGTGGGTTTTTGATGGATATAAAGGTAAAAAAATGAGGATTCGTCTGAGGGACTGACCGAATACTTCGTTTGATAGTACTGGTCCCTAAATATTTGAATTTTCACAGACTTGACGAATCCTAAGAAGCACACCGGTAGATTTCCCATGCATTTTCAACAATTCATAAATCAACTAGGCAGGATACGGGAAAATGGTCTGTATATGAGGTGTTATCTCTCCTTCGCTGAAATGTGGTTAACTCTGCCCTAAATTATGTACATCGGAGTCGGGCACAGTCGTTCATTTATTTATGCACCAGTGTCTTTATCTCACGACTGTTTTGTGTCTCATCAGATTGGGACATGGAACGGCCAGAACGAGAACAGGCTCACCTTTGATACCTTCACAGATGACGAAACTTCAACAGATGCTATGAGTGGCCGGATTTATACCATCACATCAATTCTGGTAAGAATTTGTGGTACAGGACAGTAGAACCATTGTTGCAGTTAATTCTGGACGTCTGAGTCTACCATCAACCTTCTCGTAACAGCGTACCAGCTAATTACGACCTTGGGTGAAGTTTACTATCATCGAGGGTTCCCTGGGAAAACCTGCCTAGCTGGTTTCCATGCACCTTTGATCCCCGAATATCCTCCTCTTTTTTATGCAACAGAGCCCACCGTTCTTGATGCTTAAACCTGATGCCGATCAACGCAGGGGAATCGACAAGTACAAAGGATACTGCGTAGATCTCCTGGAGGAGATTGCAAAAGTTTACAGGAATAAACATTCCACATTCAGGTAAAGCCGGCCTTTATTTGGTATGTACTTGTCCGTCCGCTGATAGAATTATTCATTTGTAGTAAGTCTATTATACACGGCAGGTTTGCTGGCAATCTGTCCTCAGTTGGTGTTTCTGCCCAGCCGCTAGCCGGCGTCATGCATCCTGCCCTGCGTGTAGGTTGAATGGTTTGTATGGCAGCTATCAGTCTGTGTTTCAAAACCTTATGTTTAGTTTGTTTGGCTGGAAGACTAATTGCTGTCTGTTCTCCACCTATGGCCGAATTCATATTTTGCCGTCTCTTGATGTATATTTTCGAGCTGCATGCCTGCGTAACATGGAATTATTGAACTAGTTGCCCTATTCCATCTCAGATATAAAATTAAGCTGGTGGCAGACGGCGAGTATGGCACACAGATGGAGAACGGCAAATGGAATGGGATGGTTGGCGAGCTCATGTACGGGGTAAGTAGATCATTAATTGTCTTCATTTTTATCTTTTTCTTTGCCTGATCTTCCGTCAAAACGGCTTCGGCCGAATCTCGCTGGATGGAGTTGACGTGGTGCGAAGCCATTGGAGCAAGAGAATAGTGTTAGGGGCCGAGAGGAAGTCAGCTACATTTTAAAAAAAATTAATCCAAATTGAAGGGACAGTAACTCTTGACTGAGCAGGTAGGTTATTCCATATTGGGATTGTAGACTGGTCAGAAGCTAGTGCTGAATCTTTCTTTCGGCATGAAACTATGAGACAAAAATCGGCGGGACCTTGATTTTGTGTCGACATCTACAGTCCTATGAGAAAAAATTGCATGTCGTTCGACGGAGCTTAATTCCTCAGTTTCTCAAAAAACTTTTCAACCGGCAGAAAGCAGACATCGCAGTGGCCCCTCTGACCATCAACGTACAGCGGGAGCGAGTGGTGGGTTTCACGAAGCCCTTCATGAGCCTCGGCGTCAGTATCATGATCAAGAAACCTCAGGACAACCAGCCCGGAGTCTTCACCTTCATGCAGCCGCTGGCGCCAGAGATCTGGATGAGCGTGTTCTTTGCTTGTGTTATTGTCAGTGTCGTACTTTTCCAGGTGAGGCCGGGGTCGTCATTTGACCTGTAGTTTTAACCTTGTTCACAAATTTTTTGCCCGGCCGCAATCCTGGTAGAAAAAAACCGCTATCAATCAACGAGAGAGGGCGCTGGTTAAAAAGCTGGGACTGACGACCATCTACACTTGGTGGCGCTGTTCATGATAACCGTTAAATTTGCATGCTGCACGCGGCATTTACAAAATTCTGCAAATGAGAACGACAATTCTGCTGATAAAAAAAATAGTTAGAGATAACCTCTACAAACCCTATGTTAACGCTCAAGGTTGGGGTCAAGTAATGGCTCCCCTTTGTGTGATTTAATTGCGTGAACAGGCAAGTTGCATTCTTAAACTTGGAGAAGAACATGAAGAATGAAGACCACTTGACATCTGTCCTTCCTCCATGATGAACTTGATGCAATATTGTCATTGAACATGTTGAAGTTGAACAACCTTATGACAATAAAACGACTGACAGTGATAAAAATACATGGTAGGTGTACAGTGGGCGTAAACTCAACGGTTTACCAACCATGCCAACTCAACCGATGGGACAACTCAACCATGTCAACTGTTAACTTAAATAGTTGCCTTTTGGCGATATGACAGCTCGAGGCATGCAAGGCATAAACAAGCAGTAAATAAGCCAATTTCCCATTCTGTCACCATGTTGATTTTAGCACCCCCGTATGAGTTAGCGAACAAAGCTAGAGGGTACCAATTGCAATCTACAAGTTACAACAAGGCATAAACAAGCAGTAAATAAGCCAATTTCCCATTCTGTCACCATGTTGATTTTAGCACCCCCGTATGAGTTAGCGAACAAAGCTAGAGGGTACCAATTGCAATCTACAAGTTACAACAATAACAATTGTGAGCATCCACTTGCTAAACATTACGCAACGTCATGAATTTGTTTCCCTCTGTTAATAAATCTTTTGAGCATGTGCACATGAAATGTGAAAAAGGCTTATACGGGGCAGTTCATGCAGATTGTACTCCCACAGTTCTGGGGGTAGGCTGTACAGATTGCTGATTGATGTGTTTAGGCAAATTTGCATGTGTCACATTATGTTGCGACTCGACTTGCCGGGCAGGCAGGACTGATGGGCAGTGCGTTGGCTAGCCCATGGTTGCCCCAACCAGCACAGCCACGATGGCTATGGGACATGCATGGTGGCGTGTCCACGGTACACAGGCGCTGATGTGGGAGTTGGTAAATCTGTCCCGCAGTCAGAGAGTTGTTTGTTTTCCATCCTCGTTTTTAATTGGGAGAAAAGTTGTGGGTGTAGTGACTGTAAAAGTGCACATGCACTCTTTACAAAGTGACTTATCGCAATCAACACTTTGTCCCACCAGTCAAGGTATCTCAATGGTTGAGTTGCCCTGAGTTGAGTTGGGTTGAGTTATCCAAACACTGTGGAGTCCCCTAATGTGTCGTACATTGAAGTTTTCTTAGACTTTCCTCTTGCAGCGTTGCCAGACCTCTTTTTTGAAAAACGATACTAGTACTAGGCTGCCTTTTGCCTTCAAAAAACATGCTTTTGAACCTTTGTGAACAATTTCAGGAAATTTAGGCTGAAATTCTCAAATGGTGGCATCCAGAAATGTTTTGTTCCCATGTTTTGATGTCTAGAATTACCCAGTTGCTGGATTTACATGTACATGTAGTTTAGAATAATTGAACGTGTTTTGGAAAATAAATGCTGAAAGATCAGCCCTGGTGGTTACTTTATTTCCATCTTTGCTTCCAACTCAGACAGTGGGTAGTGGTGGGAGCATACTGCTCCACACCCTGAGAATGAGGTTGGACCAGCATGTAAGATTAAGGCTGCTCCCTACAGGCTACAATATTAAAGATCACTCAAAATAACTCTCTGTATCCTCTGGTGCATGTGTGTGTGTGGTGCCCAGACCAAAAGACATGGCAAGGGAACCAACTTAAATTGAACATGAAAAAGTGTGCAGTTGGGATTTATTTTTTTACAAACACATCTCCCAAGGGCATTCTTAACCTAGCAATGGGGAAAGCCGGACCCCTGAAACATTCCAGCTACCACTGTCGATTAAAGGCAAACAAAAAAGTGTCAAAATTTTTCTATGGTAGGATGAAGGGACATCCTGGACGTCATTCTTATTATTTGTAAAGGAAGACTGGCATCCAGCCCGGCAACTTCGAAGTTCCAGTGCAATTCTGTCTTGACCAGATATTCCGATTTACATGTATGTTCAAAGTGCACAAATGAACTCAGTGCATTAAAAACTTGCATGTAGAGTACTTCAATAATAAAGATGGGAGGGGCCTGGGGCCAGTATGTTACATAGACTATTGTTACCACAAACCAAAAATTCCAAAACCAGTCTTTACATGTGAATCAGAACACAGTTGTAGGCTTATGGAAACAGTGGAATGAAACCAACCAATTGTTTTGAAATACCCATTTTTGGTTTGGCAGCGGATATTTGACCATCCATCATGTTCGTGCATTAATGCTTGAATGTCATGAGTGTGCAGCATTCCAACACTGGCACTTTTTTGAGTGTCTCTCAAGAGGGCCTCGTTTTTGTCAATGTAGACACAGCAAAGAGCAGTATCCTGATTGCTATATTAAACTGTCAATGTTGGGTTTCCTATTCACTTGATTATAGACCTGTCGCCAGCTTCAGGCATGAAGGCGGGTACAATACTGGCTAAGGGGGTACAGTCTACATCACAAGAGGGCCAGGCCCCCCTAGGCCTTCCACCCCCTCTTTTGTGATGGGCATACTTGATTAAACCTTGTTCCCTTTTTCCTAACACCAGGTGAGCCGCTTCAGCCCCAAGGAATGGCATCGCGTGGAGCATCCTCCCCCTACTCCTTCTGGCATAGGGGAGTTCTCCCTCAACAATCCCAGCGAGCGGTTTGTCACTGAAGACCGGGAGGAGACAGAGAACGACTTTGGGATCTTCAACAGTTTGTGGTTCACGGTGGGGGCTCTCATGCAGCAGGGTTGTGAGCTGTGCCCAAGGTTTGTACAGGGGTTGTTGGGCACTGGGTACTGCTTACTGGGCACTAGGTAGTGGGTACTACCCACTGGGCACTTGGTTCTGGGTACTACATATACCCAGAGGGCACTAGGTACTGGGTGTTAGCTACTGGGCAGTAGGTACTAGGCACTACATGTACCTACTTGGCACTAGGTACTGGGTACTAGGTGTTGCTGAAAACAAAAACACCCCTCACACAATTGGGCCTGAAAATAGTCTGATGTTGCTGTGGCAGAAAAGGAAACGGCATTAGGCTGGGGAGTTGCATCCTGTGGTTTTTGTGAACAAACTTTCTTTTGTTCTGTCTCTTGTCAGTGCGAATTTTTATTCTGTTGATGCACTCAGCACTCCCATGGCTCTGAACACTAGACTTTATCCACAAAAACTGCTAAGAGCTCCTACAGAAATATCCAGACTCCTGCCGGCATGTGGGCACAGCGGAGCTATGTCAACACTGACAGAGACAATAGGCAGAAACTGAGGAAAGGAAAAAAAAGAATATAGAGACACCAACTGATCATTAAATGAATTCTCATGGAGACTTTGTTAATGAGTCAGCCATGGTAAATTGTAAGCTACATGTAGGTTACCACTTCTTTTGGGGAACTTGAAGGTGGAAATAATATTTCAGCTCAATTTAATACCTGTTTACCCCAATGTTTCTGGTTCTTTAGCAAACTTCTATGTCTTAAGCCTGAGTGTTAAAGATTTGAAAGACTGTTGGAGCACATGCCAAATTAGAAAGAGTCTAGCCACTATCCTATTCAGCAGTTCTTACTTTACAAAGCGATTTTTGGGAATAAGATCCAACATTGTAAACTGTGGAATAAGGTGTGTTGTCCATGTGTCCATTGCTTTTCTGTAGATCGTTTTCGGGGCGGCTGACTGGCAGTGTCTGGTGGTTTTTCACCCTCATCCTAGTCTCCTCCTACACGGCCAACCTGGCCGCCTTCCTGACGGCCAAGCGCATGGTCATGCCCATCTCCTCTGCCTCTGATCTGGCTGAGCAGACCTCCATTACCTACGGCACTTTGGCCTCTGGAGCCTCTGAGACGTTTTTCAAGGTTAGGAAATCAATTGAGTTTCTTTTCGTGCCCCCTACTCCCAAAAATTGGTAGACACTGGATATTAAGCGACCATCATTTAGAAAGATAAAAAAGGCCTGGACCGTAGCACTAAACCAGCATACAAACAGAAACTGTAGTAAAACTACTGCTACATGTAGGTAGTAAAATGCCGTCTTCAACTTGCCTGATGGGCACGTGAAGAAATATCTACCAGTTCAAAATTGCCCTTTATATTTATGTCCTTATATTTATAAGGATAAGTAAAAACCATTTGTGAAATTAATTGTACATGTTGTTTATTATTGATCGTGACGGTTTTGATTTCTCCACATTTACATGTGAGTTTTGAAACTGACAACCAGACACCATTGTGACAGTTGAAATAATGAAGTTGAAACAAATCCAGTCAAAGTTAGTTTTCCTGTAAGAAGTCTTGTGAACAAGTGGATATTCTTGCAAGCTAGTACAAGAATAATTTAACTTGCCCGGTGGGTTAGTTTTTGAAAAATAGCTTAAGGTCAAGGCCTGCTACAAGTATTTTTTAAAGTATTTGCGGGGGGTTTAAATTTGAGTCAGTTGCTCCGAAGGCAGCTATTTGAACCACTATGCCACCAACACCTTTTCATCAGTATACATATGCATACAAATGGATAAAGAAAAAGACTTAGTGTGACTGTAAGGTGATCTCTCATCAGTTCCCTTTCATGGAACATTTGATGGGTATCATGCATCATTGAAGAATCAGACATCATTCCATGCAATAGTAAAAACATGTGTCCAAATCCAATCCTTTTAAAGGAGGAATGTGTAGCAAGCAGAAACACTGCAGTGCTTTTAGGTTTTTCTTGCGCACTGTTCTGGATGTTGTTCAGCATTTCTGTACACATGCACACCGATTGGCAAAGGAAATTTGTCAGCCCATATTGCGGCTTTTCCACTTTGACAACACCCCTTACAACAGGGAGTGCAACCTTTGTGAGGTACTTGGTTTCCTCCAGAAAGAATGCACAATATGCCTCCAGTTTGGCTGTACCTGTGTTTATGTTATCATGTAACCTACAAAGCTGTGTACACGCACATGTAACCCTGTACATGTATATGTAATAAGCCTTTTGTAAGTTAAATTTGAATAAAGTCTGGTACATTGACTTCTCCAAATTCATGTGAACTTAACAATTTCAATTCTCTACACTAAAGACATTGCTGGTATACCTCGTGATTTGGGGACAAGCTTTTGTTTAGTTACATAAGAGACGCCTTGCCTTGATGTTTTCAATGGATAAGAAGGGCACAACAACAACAACAGTCCATTTCAGAGATGGTGATTGCTATGCAAAAGTTTGGCCCAAATCACAGGGTATGGCAACAGTCTGTTTAGTCTGGGGAATTCAAATTGTTACCATGATTATGTTTATGTGCAAGCAGATAACTCAGTGTACCAGATTTTATTTAAATTTACACGCAAAAAGCTTATTGTGACAATGAGGCACAAACCAGTGAATAAGGAGAATTGGACAATGTTTCAATGATGGCATGGAGACTGTCATTGACACAGTCTGGTAAATTCACTGTTGCCATTTCTTCCATCTGGGCGGCATGTGGCCTAGTAGTTTGGGTTTGTAGCTTCTGATTATAGGGTCAGGGTTCGAATCCAGCTGGTGGCAACATGTTGCGATCTTCGGCAAGTCACTTTACCCCTATGTGCCTCTATCCACCCAGGAGTACAGGCCTTGAATTTCATTTCTTTCAGGGCACTGCCATTTGGCATTGGTGGACTGGCTGAAATGAAGGGCAGTAATGCCAAACGTGAGGGCATTAATGCCATCAACGTAACAAAGTTAAGGGCATTCATGCCATCCCTTTTTTTCACATGAAAATAAGTAGGATACGCACAGAGCGCGCTGTATTGGACCAAAAAAGGGCTCGGACAAAATGTAATAACACAGTCAGTTTTGTTTTGCCATTACCATCTTTTGATCTGCCATATGGGCTAGAGTTGTAGCATGCAGTGTCAGGTGTCGAAATACACCTTTTTTCTGGTCCTACCAGAACCGTACATGCAGCTGCATTGAGCAATCCTTGTTCGCAAGCAGGCTTTGACAATTTGGTTTTTTTTTTAAATTTTTTTTTAGTTTGCCGATTCAGGCAGGCCATGTCGTAAAGTTGCCCCTTTTTCTGCCTCCATGATTTAACTAAGACCTACTGCATACTTGCAGTATTTTATCTGGATATTTGATTGATTATTGAATATTCAAGTATTAATTGAATTTGAATATTCAAATGTAGAATTCATGAAAAGGGTTTGTTTTAAATGAGAAAAAATGCTCAATGGAGGCTTTTTTATTAAAATCTGATTGAAATGAAAGCGACAGAATAATATGTTTTACAATGATTCAAAAAAGTAAATTATTCGTTTAAAAATTAAAAAGGAATGGAAATTTTCAACTGAACAAAAAGGATTGTTGTCCTTTTAAATCTTGCTACGTGTAAATCGTGACTGGAAATACTCCTAGACGTGAGAGACTGGACTACAGGGCATAGATAACAGAAATATTACCTCAATGTAAAAGTGGCTACAAAAATAAAGAAAGAATGACCAATGCCCCAATGTGTGTACTAGTCTTATGTAGCTGCAGAGCGCCCTCAAACAAAAAGGAATGAAAGGCCCTGATACTACAGCATAAAGGGGCGCAGCAAGTTTTGCCTTGACTTTATAAAAAAGCAGGGCACCAAGGCAATTTTCAGAATTATTAAAGAGCTTTAAGGGCAGTAAGGCAATTTTACAAAATGGAACATTGTTAAAAAAATAAAGACGTAAATAAACATATTTTGACTCAGTAAATGAAATTCATGCAGACTGTAGTCTTGTCTCTGTTTCCTTAAAGGTTAGGCCTACATGCAGAAAAATAACCTGTAAAAAATGTAAATAATGGAGAAATACAGTGACGAACTTTGAACACCAACGCTCTGCGAAAATTGCCTTATTTTTACATCATCTGGTTTCCAACCTCAACGTGCATGTAGTTGTTAACACATTTCTCGGGTCGATAACAGATTCCAAAATTTGCATTTGCCGTGAACAAGTCAGAAAACTTTTTTTCACTGAAATATTGTCAATTTTTCCCCAAGAAGAGTTGCTTAGGTAATCCTAATAAGTGTGCATTCTTTCAAAAATGTTTGCATGTTTTTTATATTGTAGGACTAATGTTATAGGACTATACCATCGCAAAAATAAAAATGACAATGGCTTACCCGAGAAATGCATCCAGTTTGCAGCTGCACTGAGTTGGACCTCTTTTAATTTTTGAGCCGCCCTGTGCAATGCATCTGGAACTTGAAGTTGACACTTTTAATCTGACAGGACGTTTGTTGGGCTGGCAGAAGTACAGTGGTCTATGTACAGTGGTCTATGATAGTTTGGTCCAAGCCATGTCATTTATGTAAGTTAATGCACGCCAATGCATATTGAAAATGACACTTCGGTTTCGTGCAGACACCAGCGAAAGCTAGCAACCGACGTGTGCTGCACACTGTCTCTTGTGAATCACTTGCGCGTGTAGCTGTGCAACGTACATAATAGGGCCTACACGTGTAGATGTACGGTCATCGCTGTACATACAGTGTATGTTTTGACATCGCAGAACGAAAATAAGCTTTCTAAAAGTACGGCGTTGCCTGCCAGCTGCCGGCCTTGACAAGGGTACGACGGCAGCACTCTGGAAAGGTACGGCAAGTTGTTGCTGTTAAAATAGGCAATTTTGAAAGGCGTCACGGCAATGCCAGAAGGCATCAACAGCAAGTGCTGTAGATACCGTCTGGTGAACTTTGTTACAGTATTCTCCCCAGGGAGCTGACATGGTTTCAGGAACGTTCCGATGTTGTGAGCCCTATGTGCAGCTATAGTGCAGGCTCTGTGGCGCCTTTGAGTTACAGATAACCTGAGATGTGTGGTGTGCCTTGTAAATGCTTGGATACTGTTATCATTTTTATCTCTTAGACATCTTCGGTGCCCATCTACCGCCACATGTGGGAGTTCATGTCCAATTCGGAGGACATGCCCTTTGCCAACACGACGGAGGAGGGCGTAGAGCGGGTGCGCAAGTCTAACGGCAAGTACGCTTTCCTGCTGGAGTCGGCCATGAACGACTACTACAACCAGCAGCCGCCCTGCAACACCATGCGAGCGGGAAACCTGCTGGACTCCAAGAGCTACGGGATAGGGGTCAACAAGCAGCTGGTGGACGTAAGGTGGGTGGGGTACAGGCAGTGCCAGAGGGGGGGCGAGGTCTGAAGGGATCTAGACCAGACGGAGCCATCTTGTGTTCATCTTATGTCATGCAAGATACGTCTCAGTGTCCTAAAAACTGATGTCCCTTCCATGGGTGGAGTCATTGAAGGCATTCTCTGGAGACTTAATTCCTAGCGTTTAACTTTCATGTCTGTATCCTTGGTGATTCAGGAGAAGGAGTCAGCGATGTCTTTGCAAAACAGGTGCAGAAGAGTCTATCTTATAGCCTGGGCATACCAATAGCCTTGTGTTTCAACAAGGCCAACACAACGATTTCGCATATGATGTTGTTTTGTTTTTCTCCAAACAAGAGAGTTTTTGACATTGGCAATCCTTGAGCTTCAAGAGGGAGCCATCCTGAATGATCTCCAGAAGAGGTGGTGGACCTCCCAAAATGAATCCTGCCGAATTCCCCCTGTTCCCGATCACATGGTAGGTGCATGCATGTTGTTAGCAAAACATTCTCCGTGGTAGAATTGGGTGATTTTGAGCAGCATGCAAGTGAAGACCGTAATAAGAAAAGTAACCACACCCATGCCAAACTAAACTTGGGGTGTCAAAAACTGGACGTTTTACTTCAAGCAGTGAATCATATGAGACAAGGGGTGAAACAAGAACGTCGGACAGAGTTTGATATTTAGATGGATTGCTATTGTGCCATTTCGATGTGATAACTGATTCTTTGAGCAGGGCTTCAAGATTTTTAAAGGATAGTTTAATGCCAGCCCTTCCATGTGAGACACATTTGATAAGCTCGTTGATGCTCATTGGAAAAGTGTTTGAAATCGATATTGCTTTTAATGACAGTGAGATGTTGCCATTCACGATTATGACATTATAAATTCTGCAAAGATTGACCAGAATCTGGTGTATCTGTTTGTCTTCCTCCCGGTTCTGTCAGACAAAGACCAGTGCGCTCAACTTGGAAACCTTGGCAGGAATATTCTACATTCTCCTGGGTGGATTAGCAGTGGCACTCTTGGTGGCTGGAGGCAATCTCTTCTTGAGGTCTAGACATGAACTCATCGCTGCAAAGGTAGGCCCTTCCGGCTGGGTCGACAGCTGTCTTCCCAGCTTAACCATAAGCTTTACGGGTTGGATAATGGATATACTTGTAGTGGGATATATTGGCATGAGTACAGGGCTTTGCTTTATGAGGTGCATCCAAAATTGAGCCACTAATGATATTTTTGTGTGAACTTTCGTTTAATTTCAGAATCGATACATTGCTAAACGCAAAGAACGTATCCAAGGAAACCAAAAGGTATGTGATAGACATGCATTAGGCCGATACAAATTTACATGTACAGCAATAAAGGTGCTTATTTTTCATGATATTTCATCATGTTTTCTTTTGTATATCAGCCTGCTGCTGCTGTGGTTTTGGTTTTGAGTTCATTTTAAGTTTCCAGCCTCGCTTGTGTCTGTTGTTTGGTTTTGCTACAGAATGTCCAGGCAAACCTCAAGGCATGCTGTAAAGGAGCCAGCAGTCACACTCCTGTGTGATGGCGCCCTCAACAGTTGGTAGACCAAGCCCATTGCTGCGAACAGGAAAAGTTCCTGAGGGGGAACAAGTAGTCCCTGCATCTTTTTGAGCAAGATGAAATAAAAAAGAAAGATGTGTCTATAAGACTCAAGTGGATAAAATACATTATTGTGGTGTTAGGTCTAGCTTTGCGATTGTAGCGGCATGATAAATAAAACACTGTGCTTGTGTGTTTCTGTTGTTTTGATTGGTTTGGTGTTGAATTTGTGTCAGTTGCTTAACTAAGGAGAATTAAAGATGTGCTTTTTTGTGTGATGAGTTCTTCCAATTTATACGCCATCTTCATATAGTTGAAGACTGAGGTGTATTGTTGAGTGCACAGCTTGTGGATGGAGTGCAAAGCCTAATTAATTTGACATTGGACACCCATTAGCTAGTACATGTAATTGTGGAACTTTGAGTGGATGGACTCCTCCACAGTATACTCAAGGAGCTTGCTCCATTCAGTTGTCATTTTGCTTATGATTCGGCTGTTCTGGGTTCTCAGAATCCCCCCCCAGCAGGCGTCACCTGGCTTGTATTTTCAATTTCCTTCAGAACTGAAGTGAGCAACATTGCTCGTGCAGCCTTGCTCCGCCTGCAGCCGGTGACTCTCTAGTTGGGTACTACTGAGGGCGCCTCAGCTGCACGAAGACGACGTCACAGCCTCGGCCCTGGTCTTAGTGTCTCAATCAGACGATCGTCATTGTAGATATAGCATGGAATTGTCGATAGATCGAACAAATAGTGAAATTAACATGACGTAGAAACCTGCCCTGAAGGCAGTTGATGAAAATTTTAAATTCCGGAATCGGGGAAGGTGAAAAGTTAGAATTTCAAATTGTGTAAATTTGTACGTGCAATGTAACCCACCTGGAAGAGAGAGAATTTAATAGTTGCTTTCAACTGGCTTTGAAGGCACCAGATGGCTGGCGTATATATACCGTGTACAGAGTAAATATGCCAAGTGGCTTTGACTATTTATACTAGATCAACTGCTGATTCTACTGGTAGAAATCTTTGTTGCACATTTTTTTATTGTACTGTGAGGTTCTTTATTCTTATACCCTTCTTCTCTGTCAAAACAGTTTCTTACGTTTGCTTTTTGAATGACTTTTAATTATTCTAGTTAGCTTTATTGTAGTTTATTCGAAGTTGTCTGGCAAAGTGTGCAAGGTCTAGGAAGGCGTGCAAGCCGACTCCAGTGCGGCCTTCAAGTGCTGTCTGCAACTTGGGGCATTTTGATAGTCGTATCTGCCAAATCTGTAAATGAGGATTACCGAAGCCGACAGAATGAAAAACGCTTCACAGACACCAGGACTCTGATGTTGGGTTTTTGAAATTGCGGGAAGAAAGACCCTCTATCACAATCTAAAGACGGTAGTCATTCGGTGTCCTTGATACGCCCGGATGGCATGACGCTGTACATCCCGCAGGCATTGGGATCACAATTGATCCCAAAGTCCAAATGATCGGTCGGGGGAATGAGCGTTAAAATGAACAACTATGACCGTTGAAAGAGTTGGAGCAGAAATCATGCTCTGTAATGAACTCTCTGCCTAACCTCAAAAATACAGCAAGGTTGAGCGCTGGTGGTGAGGAATATTATGGCAGCGTGGTTAAACCCCCAAAATAAGAGCACTGTCGATGTGAGTACTTGTACCTCTCATGGCAAGATACATGGACTTCATTAAGTTTCAATAAAGGCCTTGAAGATGTTCAACTGCACAATACAAAAGTTTTGATACACGAATGTCAGACTTGTGTCTGCCGATATGGAGTGGGGCTGTTGCCGACTGGCCAAGTCGCAATTGTCTGTGTCGGTGTGGGAGTTACAAATCCCCATTTTCTATGACACTAGGAGCAGCCCGGTCATCTGCTTTGTCGTAGTTGAACTTACATATATTGACACGTTGTGCTAATACATATACATGTATTGAAAATGTTTATCATATAAAATTGAACTCTTACCACGATTTCTTGCGTATCGAATATTCTTAACAATGCATTGTTAGGCAGACACGGCAACACAGGGGTATGTGTCAAATGCATGTGGTTAATTGTATCCACTGATTTGATGGCGTAGTCTGTTTACGAAACTCCATCTTAAGTTAGTTCTTTTGATACTTTTTTTTAAGAGCCCGAACCGCTTCAATCTTTGTATCACCGTATTGCACCACAGTGCTGAACGTCTGTTGATTGTACATTATAGTTAGTACTGTTTGTTAGAGAAAGTTTTTATTTTGTCTTGTGGAAAAAGTCTGAACAAAAAATTCACCCTTCACACCAAAACCTTTCAATCTAATCAATTCAGATCTGTTGTTATTACATCTTGTCAATTGCAGTATGAAATAAAGACAAAACAATTCATATTTGTACAAATGTGTAACCTTTATTGTAAAACAACGTTTATCATCAGACTGGTTTTGAGTGCCTATCACCATTCAGCATCAGCCGTATTGTGTTTCTCTTTCGCACTTTTAACCTGTCTGCAATTTCGTCTACATCTGTCTGTTCGTTGGGAGGGTTGTCTGGCTGTCTGTCTTTATGTATCCCTTCTGGTCTGTCTTTATGGAGCCCTTCTGGTCTGTCTCTATGGCACGTACAAGTTCGTCAGTTTTAGTATTCTGAATACATTTAGGTTCTGAATACGTTCGCCCATTGAAGTCGATTCCAGCTTCCATCTGTCGATCTTGTGGAATCATTGCTGTGTTTGGTCACTAATGATTGTTTGGGGGTCTTACGAAGCTTTGCAAGAGAACAGAAACCTCGTGTATAGGCATACGATTTCAACCCCACCGTCGGTCTCGTTGCCATCTGTCCGTCTATTTTGTCAAACCATTTAGAGAAAAAAGTCCTCTGTCCGATGTGATCGTAGTTTTTTGTCCAAATATCAGCCAGTCCGTCCGTCACTTAGTCAACTTTGAGAAATAGATGACCAAGCTTTCAAAATTAGGAATTATGAATTATATTTAAAACGGCAACAAGGACAATGGTTTAGGGTAAAGCATTTCATCTTTAGTCCTAAATTGAATGCTTAAGACTTCTATTCGATCGCGGGTTTGAAATATTGAAATAATTTCTTTATTACTCTAGAATATTGAAAAAGTAACCCGTTTTCGGTTCGGTCTTAAAAAGTTGCCCGAAAAATTTGGCGGGAAACCTAATATTTATCTCTTCAAACCGCCAGCCTATTTACTGAAAACCTTGAAAATACTGTCGTTTTATGGTTTTCACTGAAGGCAACTCCTTGGAAAAGTGGTATTTAATTATTTAGTCTTTTTCATTAGGTTTTGCCGTGATGAAAATATCACGGTACATCTGTTCTGGTTTTGTTTTTTCTTTGCAGGAAAATTGATGTCAGTTGATTATTTAACAATTTTCAAAATGGTTACGCTACAGGGAGAACGCGGGGTTTGGGAGACTGTATCTAATTATTGAATAAATCCACTGGAAGTTTATAGTGGATATTTTCCCGAACTTTTCTTTGGTTGTTATAAATAGAGATGTTGATTTGTCACGAGTAAAATGTTCATGCTCTTAGACGTAGCTACACTTTTACACATTTATCCCATCAATGTCTTTAGCAAGTACATTAATTCATGTTAAACACGCTGGAAATGAAAGTTCCATAACTGTTTGACTTTGACATGAATATTGAGTTTGTTACATGAAAAATTGCAGGTTGCGCACAATATTTTCAAAATTGAATTTGGATGGTCACACCTTTGTACTTCACGCATTACTTACTTGTATTGAGTGAAACAAAACATTCGTCGTTCTTGAAAAAATTTTACCATCTTCCATGCGGCATTTTCCGTGTTCCTCAGTGATATCTAGCAAAACCCCGCCTCAGGGCATAAAACTATGGCCCTACGAAATGGGTTACATCCTGGAAAGGAGAACACATAGGCCTATTTGAACAGTGACTGGGAAAAAAGAGATCGTCTCACTCGAAGCGGCGCATTTTCGAGTAAAGAAATTAACATTTTTTGACCACGGCATTTGGTTAACTCATTCGCCGTTGGAAGTACCATTTCGTGCAATAATTCTAAAGGACGGAATTTCAATAGTGTGGAGTTCATGATCCGTTCGATTCTTGGTCTTGGGAACAAGTCACTTCAAACATGTTTGTCTCGACATATATATTTTTTTTACAATTACTGTACATCAGCTTGTTGCAAACGGAAGCAAAACAACATCGATGTAAATCAACATGAACACATTGCTCTCAACGTTAAAAATGCCAGCGGAAGATTGATACTATTTAGATTCGCATCCCATTCGTGTTATCTCCAATAGACAATGGACAATCCAAGTATGTACTTCATAGTTTGTACCAATGAACATGACCTTAAAAAAGTTCGAAAGAGACAATGTTTAGTTGCATAAATCCTTTTCAAACAGCAACATTTTTAAAGGAATGCACTTGAAATGAAGAAGCGCACGTCAGTTTTAACTCCTTGATATTAAAAGCAATTCAGTTGTACGATAAACTTTCCCACATATTTTTCTGTATAAGCTACTATAAAGACAGTATATACTTACAAAACCTACTTATGTTTTCAAAACCTGGAAGTAATATTTCACACTTTTTAAAATGAAATGTATAAAGGTACTGTCCACAATCTCGAAGCACTAAAAATTATGTCGAATGCTTGATTTGTTCTTGTTTGTATTTTTAAAAAGACTGTCGGTTTGCACGGGATTTTAAATTCGTTATTTTAAAATCTGACTGTAGCATCTTGTAGGTATTGTCACTTTTTAGTTAGTACAGTTATTTACACGTTTTTACCATTATATTCTTTGTATTGCAAATATACTTAAAATTGCATTTAGACAGGCAATTGTATTGAATTCGCATTGAACTTTCTTTATCTTTTGAGTCGACTTTTATGGACGTTTGTTGATGTTTTGTGACCCGAAGATATTCACTGTTCGTCTTGAATGGTCAACATCAAATAATGATAGCACTCAGAAATATCACCAAACATTTACACTGCAGTAGAGCTGTTGGTAAAGGAAGGAGTAGTACGGCCATTTTGTGTCCACTGTTTCATGTGAACCCATGTACGCTGGGGAACATAATGGCGTAGCGGTGTTTTCGCTGTGTACTTTCATATACATTCTATTCATCATCCAAGGAGCGTTTACGTTGGTTTTACTGTTTACTTGTCAGTAATGCATTCATTTTTGTAGAAGATGTGGCACACTTTCTCAACTGACCATAATAATCTGAGTCCCTGGAGAGAAAGTGAAGAGTTAAATTTAAAAGCATTTTATCTTCACAGACATAATGGGCACCACGATGTTGTTCATGGTCACTATCGAGTTTTATTACAGCCCTCCGTAGCTGCATGACATTTTCTTTTTTTTGACCCGATTAATTTTGGTCGGGTACTTGGTCGGGTCATGGGTTCACTGAGTCTGGCACACATGTGCCACTCTGGTTTCCCCTTGAAATCCTGTGCGTGAACAGTCGCAATCTCAACCTCAAGTTCACGTCCTGTCGGTCCGTGGAAGAAAAAAAATGGGGTAACCTATCCCCCTCCCGCTTATCACTCTGTCCAGGTCTGATTGTTTTTCCACTGTTGTTGCCACATCAAATACACACTCCAGTAGACGATATTGAAAATCACGAAAAGACAAGGAAACAAGATCCGGGCATAGGTGTCTATGATGTGGACGTTGCGGACCGCTGGCAGGCGGACGCGCACCGTCCGCCGCCGGAAGGTCGAGTTCCGTGCCCGGCCAGAGCTGCCGGGGCCAAACCAAGGCGGGGTGTGCCGATAGTTGGTGCCGCTGGACCGCCGACGCACCTTGCCGCCCGTGCAGGATGGTTTCCGCACAACATGGCCGTCGCCTTCCAGTCCGTTGAGCCTATTCATAGGAATCTCTTCCGTTACCATGGCTTCAGTCTCATCGCTGGTACCCCGTTGTGACAATCGTTGACCGATATTCTGGTTGTACTGCATCTGTACATAAACGACCAGATTACTCATGTCACGTTCAGTGAAAAATCTGCTACATTAAGTAACTTTGATGACGTCAAGCACAGACCTTGAAATCACCGTGTAAAGTCATGACTTGACCTCCGTCACCCTGTGGGCTTTGAAGTAAACATACAAGGTCCTGACTTTTTGTCTGAACGTACTTTAACCTGTTGGTAGGTGCCATCTCGGAACCTCCTAGTCCGCAGGCTTGAGTCGTCGCTCCTGTCCCCGTTATTGTTGGCAGTGACGCTCTTGAGGGCTTCCCGGGCTTTGCGCTTGTGGTTGGACCAGTAGTTGAAGTTGACAAAGGCGTACTCCAGCAGGGCGGAGAAGACGAAGCCAAAGCAGGTTACCACGTAGATGTCGATGGACTTGATGTAGGAGATGCGAGGCAGGGACTGGCGGACACTCGTGCTGATTGTGGTCATGGTCAACACCGTCGTGATGCCTGTGAGATGGGTTCAAGATGAAATGCCCAAAGGATAAGGTACTTTGAGACAGCCTGTTCCTCTTGAAATAAAACAAATTCTTCGATATTGGTTTGGATGTTTTCAGCGCATTTTTTTTCACCCAACACAAGCCAATAAGCAGTATATTGTGACGGCCAAAGCCGCGGTTAGTCTTTTGTAATATGTTATATCAGTGATTTGATACCAATTTTATACTTCTGTGTCGTGCATTTCCCATCGGATACAAGGTGCTACAGATTCGTACATCGTGCCACCGGCCACATATACTGCAAGAAAGGCTTCGCAAAATGGCATTCGACAGACGTGGTCCTTTTGGTTGAAAACAGAGCGGCTTTTATGCTTCCAGCCTACTACATGCTTTGGGCAAGTGCATTCAGCGACAAGTAGTCAACCAATGATCGATTTTGACTGGTAACCTATGCATGAAATATTATAACGGGCCCTAGGCAAAACCGACCAGTGCTTTAATAAATTGTCCCTGATCGAACTTGCTCAGCAAGTTAGTTAACTGTAATTGAACTGAACTGCCAGTTGCCTAGCTTTGACGGCGTGCCACTTGCCGTGCAGTTGAACCAATCACCTGAAAGTGTGATTTGTGTAGAACCACCATCATAATTGGCATTTCTTGTGTATATCTATTGTGTGAGGTCGCGGATATCAGGCAAGACAATTTACCAAGAGCGACTCTTGCGGACGTGGCCTCGTGGTTGATCCAGAAGGAGACCCAGGACAGAATGGTCAGTAGGATGGACGGGAGATAAGTCTGCAGGATGAAGTAGCCAATGTTTCTCTTCAGAAGGAAGCTCAGAGAGAGTCTGGGGTACGACCCTGGGGGAATAGGAGTCAGAACGAACATTTTGCTTTACATCACCGATGTCAGTGGATGGCAACACACGAGTACATAAAATAGGGACAGCTTCATTTTGTTCATTTTCCTCTTTAAAAGAATCCATCTTACCTGTTATTTTTAAGGTTATTGACTAAATGTCATGGAATGGACATCAATGTCAACTTAAACTTTTAAGCAAGTTTTTGGTCAGAAGGCTAACTCCTAGGTCACAACCTGTTGATAAACCATTTACGGCTGCTAATCTTTACGAATACGGGATTGCCCGCATGACGTTCTTAAAAATGATGCAGATTCGAGGCTTAAAGGTTAGACTCCGACACTGATTTTGAACTTGCGGCTGCAAACAGGTGTGTAAAGATGGTTCTCTATTTGAAGTCGTTTGTAAGTTTGTAAGCACTTTGATATAGCACCCTGGATTACAAAAGGACTAAATATGGCGACCACTTTGGATCTCAAACCTCGTCTACTCCTTCTGACCAGACGAGCTTTAGATCGTAAACCGGAAGACACGCATTTCGCATCAGGTAGGTCTTAAATTTAGTCCTATTTCCGTGAGTATTATCACTGACACTTGCCCGAGTAAAAGCCAGTTCATACTAAGCGCGAAAGCTAAAAACGATCGCGACTTTGTGACGTCAAATCAAATGTTCGCATTAAGAATTCGCAAAGGTTGAACATATTTCAACCGGAGTGAAATATTCGTGCCGTCAGATGCGCTTTGCTTTTGCATTGACCTGAAGTATGAACCGGCCTTTACACCGTATCCGTTCGTTTGGTCTTTAAGAGTAAGCACGTCGCCGCTGGGTTGACGTTAAAAGGCCACAAGAATGGGAAATTAAAACCGGCTAACTATGCTAACGACTGAGTAAGGAAATGCCACCGAGCGTATCCAAAGCCTGATACCTGTCAAACCTCCCCCGAATTTGACCCCGAGTGCTGGCCAAATGAGCCATCCATTAAAGCCATCCAAACAATTACAAGTGGACACACAAAGCCCGCCGAAATATCTCAATATCGCTGTCCTTCAACATGAACTCTACTAACAGCGGTCTTCCTGGAAGGCAGCGCGCACGCCTTATAAACACCTGCCGCTTCGAGTGGGGGAGGATTTGAAAACACGGGTGGGGCGATCCAACCCGCCCGGCGGGCTTTTTTTTTTGCATTACTGCTTGCGACCACTGAGTGTCGGGTGGGTCATCTTCGGCGTTGTATCCTTTCAAACTTTCTTCAGCACTGATGTTCCGGGAAATACCATGTATGGAAAACTTAGCTTCGAGGCTTTTGGTTTAATTTTATCGTTCTTGCCCAACATAGCCCAGCTTTCAAAAGCAGTACTCAGGATGGATTTTGTCACGAAACAGGTCAGGCTCACGTGACGTGTCTCCCTCACGCGCTTCACGCGGAGGCCGGCTCACTCAATCAAGAATTCAATTAAACGACGTCGTGCATGTTCGGCAGGCACGGGCAGCAATATGGGCGCGGCACACGAGTAACCACTTTATGACCAATAAGGTTTGCATTTATCAGACTATCAGATTTACTTTGCCTATTCAGCAAAAGAGGCTGTTCTCAGGCTGGAATGTGATCCTTGGCCTTCTTCTAACAGCCTATTTCCATGCTGTACAAGATCTATCTTCGCTATGAAATCGTATGCGATCAATGTCACACTAAGCAAACCTTAGGCAAACAATAAACTGCTGAAGTTTTTTTAATATTGTAATAATACATGCTGTATCAGTAGAATGGAGTTAAGCTATAACATTTCATTCTTTGGCACCCTTGATCTAAGTTGGATTTTTCTGTATGTACTCATTCTGTTTGACAGGGTCTTAAAGTATCTCCGTTTGTTTGAGGGTCTCTGTGTTGGTGTTTTTAACTGGGTTTCGTCACTGTTTTGTTAGCTACTTTTGCCAGTTGTATAGTTTCTTGTTTTTCGGCCTGTCTTGCAGATGGTGTCCATTGCATTGGTGATCAATGCTAATATAGCTGGTGGTGCAGATTCAAGCACTATTATGTCTAGTCACCGTGATCTGCCGGTTGCCAGTCGAGAGGGTGTATTGCTACAGGGTGCGTTTTGTAATGGTTCCTGATCACACTCTTATCTCAATAACTGCCTGTTTGGCAGTCACTTTGCTCTTGCCAGACGAGCCACCTTGTTTCAGATTTATGTGGGTCTGTGGAGCTGCCTATATCACACCAGTGCAGAGATATTTCAAGTGCAGTTAGTTTGGTCTGTGAGCTTTCAGTGGATTGTGCAAGAAAGAATGACGTTATTGTCACCTCCGGGTTTTGTCTTCCGGGTGTTGAACGTACCGGTGGAGAAGTTCTGCAGCCGGGAGATCAGTTTCCACTCCGTGATGGTGAACTGGGCGATGTTGATATTCTCCATGCCGATGACCGACTTCGCACCAAACTGCCAGGAATAGGATAAGTCCGCCAGCGTGTACCCGTCTGGAAGAGGAAGTCAGCTTTTGAATCAGGTGACTCAAACTAGAATCCTGCTACCTCGAGCACTCAGTCTTATCCCAAGCATTCTGTGACAGGCTTAATAATAGGGTCTATGAAGGTGCGGTACTTTCTCCTAAAGGGTTCCTATTAAAACCAGCGTGGTGCAAATGGCAAGACCCCGCTTCTTTTCCGTTCAGGTTCTGCGTGGAGCAGAGAGGCTGGCACATTCTGCACAATGGGCTGCGTTCCAGCACTGAGCAGAAAGGTTTCGACGAATAGACCTCTTCACTAATAAATTCTTAATTATGGACGCATGCGCACAAATGGCCTTGGCGGCAAGAAGTGTAAGCAGGCCATGAAAAATGTACAGGGGTGCGACTTTGATGACCATTTTCTCTCAGGTTTTGTGGTTTTGTTCATTTTTTTCTTCAGAAAATCCCATTAAATCGTGGTTTCTATTAGTTTCTAATTCCGGCTGAGTGGAATTTTTAGTGCTCTGTAAAAAGACTTTATAATCGTAATTTTTCCAGTGCGCACGAGATCACCGTTTCTTGGTATGGCCCCCCTTCCATCATAAGTAGTGTAAACTGCATTGCCAGTGTACTTGGAGCTAAGCTTTGCATTTGTAAAAACACGTACCGATGATCAATGTACAGTAAATGTAGGCCTACCGGAACTGTACCCATTCGATTCGCTGCTTTCTGCACTTGGGAAATCTGAAGAACCAGATCCCTCTCTTTTTTGAATCTGCATTTTGTCTTTTACAACCCCAAACACAACAACTGGATACCATTTCTGTCAGTAGTACTCCAAGCTATGACCCAGTTTAGTGGCAAGCTATGTACATGTACGTACAGTATGCATGTACACCCACATCGGTACAATGAACATCGGTACGTGTTTTGCAAATGCACAAGTTGGCTCCCTGTAAATTTTCAATGGCCCGCCCACACTTCTTGACGCCAAGGCCATTTGTGCGCATGCGTACATAATTATTAATTTATAAGTGAAACGGTCTATTCGCCTAGGGAGGCATGAATATGCATGACTAAGTCTAAAACCGACGGTTTAAACAAAAGCCAGCCGCCTCTTGCATGACCTGCATCATGGTAATTTTGTTAAAAATGTGAGAATGTTAAAAATGTCAGAAATGATATGATTTTTTGCGGGCCTTGAGCGAAAATGGGCAAACTCATCGCTGCATTTGTGTTAAAAAGTTCTTTGTCCGGTATTTTGTTAGAAAAAACCCTTAACTTGATTTTGTTACAACATTCGTTTTGACAGTATTCATATACGTTTGTTTCTGCACAACCCCGTGTAGTCGAACTCACAAGTCATGAACACCCAATAAGAACAACGTCGAACATCGATCCGATAGTAAGCAAAGCCTGGGGGAAATGTTATCATTCTGAATTACGTATAAAATTACAAAAACAACACAGTGAGAATACCAAGACAACAGAATTTGAGGATTTGAAAAATGATCCCATCTGTACTCACAACTCTCCAACTCTAAGGTGCAATTCTGTTGGTCCATAGGGTACTGTCGCAGGTCCATCATACACGATGCCACAGTGGTAATCCTTCATTGGGGAAGAGAAAAAACAAACAAACAAACGACTTAAGCAGGATCCGAAAAATAGTGCGTGCCAAAATGCGTCAGCACTTTAAGTCGGCTGCGGATTAAACATGCTTTAAGTGATAGCACAAGCCCGAATCGCAAATCGGCCCCGGAAGCAGTTTGCGCTCTGACCTGGATCTTCGATTTCTCATCTCAGTTTCTAATGGAGTATGTCTGACGGGATACTGTGTACATACGTCACGTTGTAGTGCGTCAATTTACGGCACATTAGTTTGGTATCCAGTCACACTGTTTTTGCTTTGCGGGTCTTCCCTTTCTCAAGATGCATGCACAGATGTAGATCAGGGCGGCCACTTGAAGTTTCAATTGTCACCATATAGTATGTTGACGTCATTTTTTTAGCAGTGATGACAGTCATTCGTACTTTTAAATAAGAAAAGGATGTTTGATTTTGGTGGTAAGTCTGTAGTTAGATAGATTACATAGTTTTAGGAAACATCCCGTCCAAAATAGCCCCCCCCCCTGTGTAATCAGAAATTTTGCAGTCTGTGCTTCAAGAATGGAACTTTAGTCTGCGATGATGCCGTGTTTATAGGAAGCACATGTCCAAGAGGAAACGTTGCGCATTATGAACTTTTCTGCATAGGCTTGTGGAATCCACGTCTGTCGAGACGGCTGAGGGATGTTCAAAACTTTGAGTTTTACACCAGATGCCTGCCTTCAGCCTGTAATGCTTTCATTACGGATCGGAATGTACGCACGAAAAACCCGATTGTGATCTTCGCAGTTTATATCGAACAGCAAACGCCACAGATTACGACCCAACCCCCCACGCGTGCCATTGTGTGAACCCAAACTTTGCAACATGATCACTAAATAGTACAAGGCGCAAACTAGATTTTCATTTCAGCTGACACCTGCTTCTCTTTCAGCGCATGTGCCAGTCACTTTCACTTCATCGCGACTTAAAGGGGGTGTTTTCAGAGGGTGTTTCCGGCTGCGCCGTGGTGCTTGCACGCTGAGCCACGGCCACGCGACGCAGAAGAAAAGGACAACCATCGACTGTCGGCTGGGTTTCCTGTCCCTGTAGTTTGCCTCTGCCCCTTCTGTTGCCAAGCCCTCCCGGGGCTCCAGTCTTTACCCATCCGTCCCTGTCAGACCAGCCACCTGCTCGGGGGAGGAGATGTCTCCGCTCCTACAAGCGGAAGACATTTCCTTGCGACTGTGTGCCCCGTGTTCGGTCCACTTGCTAGACCGTATTGCGTACAAACAACGCTCACGATCCAAACACACCAGATTTTCATCTAACCCTCCCCCGTCTTCGACTTCCAGTTCCCCCGCTGTACAACTCAAACCGGACCACAGCTTTGTCGATAATTCGGCAAGGTTAATCAGCGATGAGGACAGATATTTTAAGCCTCCTACCGTGCTTCGACCCGCCTCCTATCTTGTTGACTTTGGGTTTTTCGGAGACAGGGGCAAGCAGTTGCACTTTTAGCCATAATATCCTCGTCCGAGGAGAGTTTCTGTGCATTTGCAGCTAGGGGTCAATATCGAAGAGATGTTGAAGTGAGTGAGTCGTGAAAACATGAACTGAAGCCGAAAGATATCAACCCTAATGAAACTTCCGATCAATGATTTGATCCGGCCGTGAATGGGTCAGGCTGAAAGCAGGCCGTGTCTTCGTATCCAGTAATCTTCTTGCTTTCCGAAATTCGAGTCCCCTCAGCTCGATCTTGTTAACGATGAGTTTTCCGATCTGATTGCGTGCGTCTTATAGATAGGTCTCCTAAGGTTTGCCTTTCCTGTGGCATGGCAGAATGCTGAGAACTTTTCCCGCAATCCTCAATAAATTGCCCATTTAAAGAGACCTAAGAAAAAACTTTTGTCCTAACTTTTTGAACAGTAAGTTCAAAACTGGTGACTAATTAACGATGGAAGGGGTCAGTTCCAAGATATTTTAAGCAACTTAGAGATTTTCCCTCTTCCATCTCCCTTTTTTCGTTTCCTTATTTTTCCCCATTTCGCCCTTTTTATTTTCATTTTTTTTTCTAGGGGGCTCGTGCCATACCCTTACAACAACCCTTCCCGATGCCTTCATGCAATTCAAGTTTTTCATTATAGCCCAAGAGGAAAGTAGTCTTGTGACAGGCGTTGAAATAAAACTTAATACTGAGGTTCAACACGGAGGCACCAGAAGTTGTTTTCTAGTCCTACCTCATTCCGTATATAACGCTGCCATCGCAGCGTAGCTGCAGGAGTCTATTTTTAACGGTGACATCATGCACAAAGGAGTTTTTGTCATTGGCCAGATATGTATCTGGCACCCAGATGACGTCAGCCACCCTGCCATCCAATGAGAGATTGCCTAGTGGGCAGTTATACTGTAGCCTCTCGTCTTTCCAGTGTTGGCGCAGGTACATAGAAATTGTGTAGTCCTGCATAAAATGAAAAATAGAGGATGTCCTTTTGAGAATAACGTCCACTCCTTTTATTGTACTGGTGACCATGAGAGAAGCAGATAAATATTGGAGAATCACGGAAGTGAAGGTTCAAAAGGTGCAGATGTCAATTCACATAATCCTAAACTGAACAGATACTAATAAAAATTTATGATGCCTCCATGCCATACGTTCCAAAAATAAATGGGCTCCCACAGCGGTGAGACTTGCCCGGCCTGGTTCAATTAAAGATCCATATGAATTGAAAAATTCTTCATTCTAACGAGATCCAGGCCTCTTACTCTCACAGCCATTAATGGATTTGTCACGGAAATTTTTGGTTCAAGTCCAATGTCACTTGTGCTAGCATAGGTATAAAACAGTGACACCTATATTGTATTACTGCCATAAATACTGTAACAATATTTCATTTCAACTTCAAACTTTTTTCTAGACATAGTTCAAGAGATACAACACCAAGGTGTTGTCGTAAATTACCCTAGCAAACCAGAATCTGATCTGTCAGTTGCTGTAACAAAATTAAGAAGTTGAAACATGAATAAATCATTTCTTCCATAATTACACACAAATTGTTCGAGAAATGCAACATCACCTATCTTATGCTTTTTTTCTGAAGAATTTTCATAACTTTTACAAAAAGGCGGTAAGTATCCTCCGACATCTTCGTTGTCAGTAGAAAAACAAAGGAAACGAAATTCATCTGACCCTTATACTTTGTCCCGACGTAATTCTACGAATGCGACATGGTATCAAGAGTGTGCAACGCGTAGACCAATCACAGTGTGCGAAAACTGTCGACCCAATGCGCGTTTGGACACGGTTGACAGATTTCGCGCACGATGATTGGTCAACATGTTGCAAACACATGGAGGCGCACTATTGTGAATCGCCCGTATTTCTGGTACTTCTACATTTCGTTGGAAAGCGAGACCCCGTTTAAACGCGGCGCAACTTGACTGGCGTTTATGACAGATATTCTGTTTCAAGTTTTCTTGTATTCTTCTAATCAACAGACTCCCTCGCTAGCTCTCTCCTTGGTCTTAGTCGTCACTGCGGGCTAGTCGTCTTTCAACATTGCATCTACAGATCTAGTAATTTTTTTTCACCAACCCAGATCACAGTTATCTGACTTCCGCATCTGCTCGGCAGGATTTCGAACCGAATTTGCTCAAGTGGCCAGCCTTCCGGCACTCGCAGACATGTCAGTACTCGCATTAAAAAAAGAGGAAAAAGTTGCCGTAGTGGAAAGAAATCCTTAAACAAACGTAATGGAATAATATTGTACAGTTGTCTCCCTGTTTTATTGAATTGTATGTCCGTCGGTCATGGGTGGCGTTCAGGAGCAGACTCACAGGTGACATCTTTGGGATCAATGCCGCAAGGTCGCAGCTTGAGATTAAAGGTTGTTTACCTTCTTCCAGCAAGCTTTTAATGTTTTGCAAGCATTATGGAAGAGAGCGAAGGCTAAGGGGCTATTTTTTCCGTGACCAGAGCCTTCTATCCGGTCGGGAAGGGCAAGGTTGAGGGTCTCTCCTGCGGAAAAATATGATTTCAGGGGTACGACTTAGTTCCAGTTATATCTTTCGTGTGATGGTTAGTGGAGCATGCTCAGAGCCCAAAGGATTATGGAGGTTGACACTAAAGGTAGGAATCAAAGATTGCCAGCCGCTGATTGGACTCTTTGTGCACGATTACGTCAGCGAGATGATCCACTCGCACTGCTTTCGTCTCTGAGTTTGTTGCTAAAGTTTACATTTTCAACTGTGCGAAAGCTTGCATCATTGTCTGGTGTAAGGTTGTCTTTGCCAAGCAAAACGTATACCATTGCCACTCTTCCTCGTGTGAGCATTCTAAGTGGATCACTTGTGGGGTAGGAGATAGGCCTAGTGAATTTGTTGATGTCCGTGTAAATTTGTTTTTACCGCCATAAAAGGAAATGTTGCTGTTCAGTGTTCGGTGTTAAAAGAAGTACCAAAATTCAAAATGGCGATATACAACTTCTTAGACATGCACGTTAAGTCACTGTATACCAGATTACTTAACGTGCACATTTCTGGTACTTTTAATGATTTATCAACCAATGACAAAACACAGAAGCGACAGGAGCCTCTGCGACTCTCGTCATCTTGGACTCGAGTTTGTTGCCCCTCTTAGATACATGCTATAGTCATTTAGAATCACTCGGGTCCTTCTGCGTGTTGGGGTTTTCAAGCATCGCTTAACAGACATTCATCAAATAGATTTATGATTACGGCATTTTTGAAACATTGAGTTCCTTGTGACCCTCGACTGTATAATGTGATTTAGTTTGCAATTAAATTGTCCTGTTCACAACGGCGAGGGTGTAATGACTGCATTCCCCGATTAATGAATTCTCGGATAATAAAAAAAAAATCACAGCTCTCAACGTGTATGTTTGTCTAGCGACTGAATCTCAGAATCAATTTTAATCGCCATAAGATCCCACCGTCGCTGGAGTGATTGTTTTTTCCCCTTCCCAACATTATTTTCGGGTGGCATCACTGTCGGTCGCGCGCAGGACAACATTTTCGTTGGAAGACTAGAACACAGTCGCCCGACCCATTGCCTCAAATCGCCCGCTAATGGGGACGTTACGTGTAGCAAAATCCATGGAAATTGGATTTGAGGGCCCAGTAACTCGACCTACCTCGTGCTGTGTCTAGCACTATGTTTCAGAGGGGGGGGGGTCGTCCCTCGCGCCTTGGCCCACAATTCAATTACTGGGCGGGAAAGCCTCGCGATCCCCTAACGATATCGGACGTGACTCACATGTGAATCGGCATTCAGCGGCGCGGGAGGGGGCGACTCTCCCGCGCCCGCATAGTCAGGCGAATAGCTAGCATTGTGGACATTAATTGAATTGGTTTCTCAATTGGTAATTGTATCCAAGGACCGAAATGAAGGTTGACTGCGAGGTACTTCGCAAAAATACTGTTGGGGGACAAAATACCTTTAGTTTTGGGTTGCTGGTGATCTTGCAAAAATCACTTCATCTTTAACTGGTCTGAATTGGGTTGAATCCAACTGTCTTCCGGTAACATTTACCTGTTGTGCAGTGTTTCTGTCCTCCAATAGGCCATCAATCTCTCTGTTATCTATGTGAGGGGGTTGAACAGATACACTGAGGACATGACACTGCTCTATGCGACGTCTGCGGACATGGGCATGTAGTTACGATGGAGGTATTGTTGTCCAAACGTAACAGCCGAGAGTAGACATCATCGTTCTTTCATTCTCATGAAGACAGGACATTCTGTCAAGTCTCACCTTCTGAGGGTAAAGTTTTTTCCTGTAGATTTATTTCTTCCGACTGACATGGGATCTTTTGTCTAATCATTTCCTTCTGGTTGCCCAAGGACGTGGAAGTAGTTTTCTCAGTTGTCTCTTTCAACGAACTCCTTTCATGAAGTCGGGCTTTCCCATTTCGGGATCTGAGGACACTTTCAAACCACACCCCTCGTGACGACGTGACTGTCTTCGGGCTTCGGAGTGATTCAATCACCGGTCTGTAATCCCTATCACACGAAGACATTGGCTTGTTCGCCACCCCTGAAATACACCTCTCTCCAAAATCAACATGTCTTGTTGCGACACATTTTGAATTTCATCTTCTTTTCGACCATGACCAGTTTGACGTTTTCTTTTAATTATCGCATCTTATACACAACAGCAAAAAATTAACTCATCGTGACAAAGCAGACTCACCTTCATCTTTATCCTTTCTAAAACATCCTCCTATATCAACCACGAGTACTTTTACAATGAAATTGGCAGTGTATAAGTGCGGGCGATATAACTATCAATGCCGTTGTTAAATTGGTTATTGAGTACCCTATAACTGAGGCTGTTTAATGAATTTTTTATCATTTTAATCAAAGGGATATTTAATGTAAGTTCAAAACTATTCAGCCATGCTTCCAAGAAGAGCAGTGACCTCACCGATTCCAATAAAGTAATTGACCCCAAGAGGATGTAGGCGGTTTATCTCTGGCTTCGATCACTAGAAATTTGTCCTATTGCCAAGAGGAAGACAACAAGGATGGGTATAGTAGTCTCATCCACTTAATGATTCTGCTCCCGATGTCTTGATCCGATCTGCACGCTGGACCCTACAGCGAGAGGCGCGCACTGCCCCCCTACCGTTCTCGATGAGCAATCAGCCAGTGTTTATCTCCTTGTTCCTCCAGCCGTAATGCCCCGTTTCTCAACGTCGTACAAATCTCCATCTCCTCCTTCTCGGAGGCGTGGTTCTAGAGGGAGATTAGAGAGGCAATTGAAGCGTGCGCTCGGGATGCAGTAAATCGTTTGGTGTCTTGAACTTTATGCCTAGTTCTTGGCGGCTCGTTCCCTGATGAACGAGGCGGTAACCCACACATTCGCATTGAGGTGTGGTGTACATTGACGTAAAAAGTGGTGTGAGGCTTTAAACGTACTTGGGAAAAGTTGGTTGTTAAACTGTAGGCGCAAAATTGAATATCTTTCAGCATTGCTCAAAGGTTCTGTCCGCCTCGGTAGCAAGCTTGTTTCTTGCTCACAGTGCACGTAGGTCACGATAACCAGCGACCACAATGCACGAAGCATTTATCATGGGACTGCAAACACCGCTGATCTCTCACCTCCTTTCGCCTTTCAATCTATATTCCAACCACATCCGTCTTGGGTCATCTCAGCATCGTATCCATGTCACCTCTATTGACACATACCATCGCCACCTTCACCGCTTCTTTCTTTCTCCTTTTGCAGGATGCGACATCGGGAGCATGCAAACTAAACAAAAACAATCGTTCGTATAAATTATGGTGCCGTAAGGGTGTCTGGTTCGCACCGTTGTAGGTGTCACAGTTGAGATCACCCTTCATGCCAACACTAAGAACATAGTACAGCATGACTTCCCAATCTTCTCGAATTTTTTTAACTAAACCTAAGACGTAGTCTCCTGGAAGATGTCTGTAATT